TTAATTATTTATCTAAGGCTAGGATTAATTAATATGTTAATTAATCAAACGAATAAGTTCGTTAAAGACCTCGGGTTAGTTTTGGGCTGCAAGGCCCAATGAGATTTGAATGTCAAGCCCATTAACTCAAGTTGTATGACAACTTGAATAAACAAAGGGCTTGAAAGCCCAATAAACCCTATAGGCTTGCCATGTTAGAAGAATAGGGCTTTTGGTCCATTAGGTCACTTATTTGAAGGGACTATATAAAGGACTTTATAGCCTAAAATTTAATATATGGTAATTTTTGGGGAAAGGATGAGAACACAAGCTCTCCTTTCTCTCTAAAATTTAGGCCACCTTGGAGGGATCATCTAGCAATCAAACTCCTCCAAGGTCACTCATTTCTTCTTCATTATGCCTTGGTGATGAATCATTAGAGGTTCTCAATTTTGGGAACTTGGAGAAACTTTTTCATCCATCCAAATCCATGGATCTAAGATGCAAGGAATGAAGGCCCTCTCTTTGGGTGATTAGCCTTTGCTTATGCAAAGAGGAATCTACAAAGGTATTGATTTCTCAACTCACTTTGTTTTTGAGTTGAGTCTTGGTTCACCTATCTACTAAGCTTTGAATTTCATGGGTAAATGTTTTGTTTTAAGTGCATACAAGCATGATTCCGCCTTTAATTGTTAATTGCATGCTATTGATGTTGCTTAAATGAACATGTTTTTCACAAATTTTCCTTCAAGTGGTGGGCGTCAACGTTCTTGAAAAACAACGATAATTATCGTGGACGACCCCCACTTTGTCTCATTTAGATCCCCGCACCGCTTAGTTTGAAATTGAAGTATAACGCATATTAGATCTCCAAAACATAGCTTAGAGCATGCCAGATGCTTTCACCGACTAGCACGCGTGACAATATCACATATTCCACCTGCGAATATGCCTGCAAAGATGGATGTACCAAATGTATAACAGACTTCCCTCCTGGAGGCCTAGGATACCAATATTGGTGATCTACGTATATTAACGGTTAACCAATCATTTGCCCCTACACAAAAGTGTGGCAGACCTCTTAGTTTAAAGGATTCACACCCCTGGAAGAGGAAATCCATAACACAAGGTCCCGAAGAGCCTACCATGAATCCAATTATCACTTATTCATTTTATCCAACTCATGAGGAAATTCTAGATTATGAAAGCATCCTTGAAGAGACAAATCCTCCTCTCGAGAATCGTGAGATTTCGGTTTATTATGCTAGTTTAGATGATGTGTGGCGTAGAAGTGAGATGATTGTCGACGATGCATTAACATTTGCAGTACCTACTGAGATCATGCTGAGTGATGACATTGAACAACATTCCATTGATGAATGTTGACACAGAACAGATTGATCAAACTGGAAACAAGCAATCAAAGTCGAACTTGATTCCCTTGCGAAACGTAAGGTGTTTGGACTTGTAGCTCCTACTCCTCCACATGTGAAGCTCGTTGGTTACAAGTGGGTTTTCGTTCAGAATCGTAATGAAAAGAATGAAATTGTGCATTACAAAGCTCGTTTTATTGCACAAGGCTTGTCACAACACCCCGGGATTAACTATGACGAAACTTACTCACCCGTTATGGATGTGATTACTTTTCGCTACTTTATCAGTTTGGTAGTTTTCGGAAAACTGGATATGCAGCTGATGAACGTAGTAACTGCATATCTCTATGGGGATCTTGACACGAAAATTTATATGAAAGTTCCTGAAGGACTTACAATGACTGGTTCAAATATTTCCAAACCCTGGAACATGTTCTCTCGGCCGAAGCGTTCACTCTACGGTTTAAAGCAATTTGGAAGAATGTGGTATAACCGTCTGAGTGAGTATTTGACTAGTCAGGGATATGTGAACAATGAACTATGCCCTTGTGTGTTCATTAAGAAGTCACATTCCGGATTTGCGATTGTTGCAATATATGTTGATGACATAAACCTTATCGGAACTCCTGAAGAGCTTGCAAGAACTACCGTGCACTTGAAGTCGGAATTTGAGATAAAAGATCTAGGTAAGACTCGATATTGTCTTGGTCTCGAGATAGAGCATTGTTCGGATGAAATCCTAGTACATCAATTGAACTACACCCAGAAGGTGTTGTGCCACTTTAATGAGGATAAAGTGAAGTCTTCGAGTACTCCTATAGTTGTTCGATTGCTAGATGCAAAACGAGATCCCTTCCGTCCAAAGGAGGATGATGAAGATATTTTGAAGCCTGAAGTTCCTTATGTAAGTGCGATAGGCGCTTTATTGTACTTAGCTCAATGCACTAGACCCGACATCTCCTTCGCTGTTAATCTTTTGGCAAGATACAGTAATGCACCAACATGCAGACACTGGACTGGCATGAAAGACATTTTCTGTTACCTTAAGGATACTACGGATTTGGGCTTGTTCTATCCCTATGGATCCTCGAGTGATGCCGCACCCTTGCTTCTTGAGTCCATTCTCGTCTTGTTAGTTATGTCGACGTAGGATACTTATCTGATCCGCACAAGGCGCGTTCTTAAATGAGTTATGTCTTTACCATTGGAGTCATCGCAATCTCTTGAAGGTCAACTAAACAGACCTTAGTTGCCACTTCGTCTAACCATGCTGAAATTCTCACCTTACATGAAGCAACTCGGGAATGCTTTTGGTTGAGAGTAGTAATAGGCCATATTCGAAGCTTATGCGATCTTTATCCCGACGATGATTTTTGAAGACAACGCATCATGCATCGAACAGCTCAAGAAGGGTTACATGAAAGGAGACAACACCAAGCACATTGCACCAAGGTTCTTTTTTTTTCTTCACATTAACAACAAGAGCATCAGAAGATTGAACTCACGCAAATTCGTTCACAAGACAATCTAGCTGACCTCTTCACCAATCACTACCGAAGACGACATTTCAGAAGCTTGTTCATGGAATTGGTATGCGTAAACTTTCTGAGTTGTAACTTTGCTATTTCTCTTTGGAATTGTGTCAAACTCAGAGGGAGTATCCTACCTTATTGAGAACAAGCATTGTTTCTTAGAATCAGTGCCGACGAGTCGACTTTCTCAACTTCTGCATGATGCTGAATCTACCTTGTAGTATTTACACACTCAAGGGGCAATGTTGTAAACTTTCCTAGTTTAAGTGTGATTATGTAAATCCTAGATTAGATTTGATTCTAGTTATTATTTCTTATTACAACTTGTATTACTTGGGGATGAAGGAATATCTTCTCTCCTTTTACTACTATAAATAAAGGCACAATGTAGGAGGGATAACACACACATTCCCTTACAATTCTACAAACACATATCTCTCAATTTCTCTACCCTTGCCGCCGGGCCTATTCCCTTTGTCAGATAAAATAGGTTACAACATCATTTTCACTTTATAATAAAAAATACCTATTGAAACGTTGTGTATACACTTGAGTAAAATGTCGATTTAGTCTCTAAATTATAATCTGTGTGAAAATTAGGTTGCTAAACTATTTTTTCGGAAAGAAACCAATCAATTTACATCCCTAATATCATATTTAAAGCTATTTTATTCAATTTTTTGTCAATTTAATTCATGTGACTTGTATGTGATACACTTTAGAGAGTAAACCGGTAGTTTTTCATAATTTAAGGACTTATTTTCTTCGAAGAAATATTGTATGAAGTTAACTTTAAAGGGTAAATTAGACATTTGATTCGCAACCTATTTCCAACATTAAATTAATTGCCCTACAAGTGTTTAAGATCTACCCTTATCAACAGGCACCTGATTAGGATATATACCCAAATGATGCTTTTCAATAATAGGTACACTTCAAATCATCTTTGTTTTCTCAAGAAAATGTACGAGAATTCAAAGAGGAATTTGAAGGCCCATTGGCACGAGGATTTGCATTTGGCTGAGACACCATGGCCACGACAACTCCTCCTCCTTGGCTGCTGCCACTACAGCACTACTTTCACCCATAATGGTGGCTTGGCGTTGTGCTTCACGATGGACAATATAAAACACCAGGGTTGAGTTCGCAGGATATCACTTCGAATTTCATTGAATACATCGTCAAGGCCCGCCAGGAAAGCAGACACATGGTCCAATTGAATCTCCTCCTCCAAAGTCTTCAAATGTTTTGCACATTCCATCTTGATCAGCCTTTGTTGATCCAACTCTTGCCACACAGATTTGATGTCGCATACCAACAGGACGTCCCTCCTGTCAAAGTCTAAAGGACTTAACCTTCTACTCATAAATGTCGGATACATCAGAGCCGTCATAGTGAGTTCGAGCAACCTCCTCCCACACTTCTTTGGCAGTTCGAAGGTGAATGAAAAAACCCATGAGAGTCGGCTTTATAGAGTTAATTAAACATCATTTTACAATGGCATTCCCAGTCTCCAATGTCTCGAAATCAACACTTCCTTCGCTAGGTTCCTTAACACTCCCCGTCAAGAACCCCTTCTTACCATGTCCTGCATATGCATCTCTAATACCTTTGGTCAAAGAGGATAATTTGATCCACTCAATTTCATTGCACTAGGCACGGCGAAAGCATCACTCTGGGTCACAACTGAATTCAATACATAACTATTTGTTGAACCAATGATCCCTTCTTTCAACTTTTTCCCCGAACTTAGCTCTGAAAAGTTCACCATCTTGACAAAGGAAGGCAGCAGCAGCAGTCAAGCACAGCCGGGCACTGGTACAGCAGATACAGCATGCACGGCACAGTTTGTACTTTGAAGCAGCAGCAGGATCACAGCCGTGCAGGTAATTAGGGTCAGGGTTAGAATCGCACAAGGCTCATATGCCAAGTAGAAACATACACCAAAAAATACTTGCTTTTTATTAACCTTTGGTTACAGCATATATACATATACAATGCCTAATCTCACAAGGAAAGAAATATACAATCTTTTTCTTACCAAAACAAGGAAGTCCTAGAATCTTTACAGATCACCTCAAGCCAACATAAATGACCGCAGCTGCGGATTGCTATATACATGAACAGATCACAACTCCTCGAGGGAAGAGTGGTTGTGTTTAATATATACGGCATTATGCCTATGTTCTGTGCAATTTAACATCTGCAACACATATATTATACAAAAGAGGCCGATATATAGTAGTTTTATATGGACAAGAAAATAGACAAACTTGGGAAAACCTATACAATACCCCGCCTACCTTGCCTTAACAATAATCCAACAAATATGCATCAAACTGTAGATAAGAAACGACATTGTCATATATCTCAACAAGGGTCTGGAAACCTGGCATATGCTTCAATCAGACACTTTATTTTTTTTATTATTCTTCAATCTACCTTATCGATTGCTGAATGATGGCGAGCATGCCTAGTATAAGAGTAAGCTGCAAGCGCTGAACCAGTCGCATCGAATGACTTCTTAGCAAGGCCCAGAGATTTCTTTGTTGCCAGCAACACGATCCAAAAGAATCCAATCCAACCTAATTAGGGGAACAAAGAAACATGATAAGAACCTTGACTCAATGGGAAGTGGAATAATAGACAATTCAAAATATAGATTGATCAGCCATCAATGAACTGTATTATACAGGCCATGAATTTGATACAAAGCCCAGAATTTCCGGTAACAAGTGCACATATATTCAAATAATGTAGCATACAGAAAATCAAGTGGCAAAAAGTTAATTGCGGTCAGTAGCTTGGTCTTTCTTAAGTACATAGACTAATTGTTTGTCTCTTGATCAAATGTTACTGTGGTGTATATTTAATCAGAGAGAGTAGCAACCTGATTGCAAGGTCATACAATTAACCATGGGGCATGCAAACACTTCAACAGAACCAATAGAAAGGCAACAACTAGGACCCCTAAATAATCACAAAGAACAGAGACAAGGACCCCTGAAACCTTACACACTATCTTTGCCATAGGGTCAGTTAATTTTGAATGGAAATTTCTTTTCATAAACTTATTACTTACTTTCTCATCTATATGTATTAGTAGACCTGATAAGTATAATTGTTGCAAATTTAGAAAGCTACCACCACTATAGTGGTAAATGCCTTATACGACACTTTTAGACGATATAGGTTGTTCTTCGATATTGGGGTGGGGTGGTGTGTGTTTGTTTGCTGGTAAGTATTAAAAACTAGAGAGAATTAGCAGAAGTAATGGTTAATTTTTAATCCCGTCCTACCTGTAGTTAACAGAACAGCTCCCATTGCAGTTATTGTTGTGGCAGAAATAACAAAAACAGCCACTGATAATGCTCCAATGTATATAGCTGTTACACAGGCAAAGAAAATGGCCAAGAATCCTCCGGCAGCTGCCAAAGACAGTAGGAGAGAAATAACAACGGCATTGAAAGTTGCTGCCACGAAGAAAAGCATGAAGACAAGCAATCCTGTCAAGGCAACAGCAGTAATTGTGCCAACCTGCATCAAAAGAATCAGTTGTTAACTCAAGTGTCTCCTCGAAATGATCTATAATAATATCAATCATCAATAGTCAAACTGTAAAATTAGACTTGTTCGAATCACAGCAATTGAAAATTGGAACAATAAGACAAAAAATTTGAGCAAAAGTGCATTTTCTTTGGTGATTAGTTATTATTCATGAAGACATATTAAACATAATGTCTTAGATCCATGATATAGAAAATTGCACGGAAAAGTAGGCTTAATTAAAAGAAAAATTATCCTTACTCAACATATACCAAACAACTAAGAAGCTAATAAAAGATGAATTTATCTGATGATGGAAACAGATTTATCATTCACAAGAATAGAGGTAAAAAGGCAGATGCTGCCGGCACAATAATAGACGTTTGCTATTTACAATGGTACTAAGACTAACACAACTAGTACAATTGAGCTATCATACAGTGAACTCTGTTGTCTATCATGCCCCCTCCAACTTGGTGTGCGAAAGAAGAAATCTAGCAGAAGCCAAACAACCGGGAAATATCTCAGTACGTTGATCCTGACTGAGCACATATTGAAAAAGGGATATTCTTACAGGTAACTTTTTCCCCAAAAAAGTATTCACTCCTTCGAATTTCCTTGAATTTTTTAACTACAATACATTCTTCTACTTCTATTCTACTTTATGTTTCTTCTTATTCTTCTAAGTCTTCTTCCTCTATTCTACGTGCTGCCCTCGTGGAGCATTTGTTTCCTCTCCTTTTTGTCTTCAATCATCATCCTATGCAAATGAGATCCAAATCTGGCATCTCTAAGAAAACGGTTATGGTTTCTAATGCACTGTTCATCAATGCAATCATCACCTACTACTGAATCTACCTTTTCTGTGGTTTTTAAATCCCTGAATGGACAGCTGCAGTGGCAGAGGTTTACAGCACTTCAACAAGAAGGAACTTGATATTTGGTTCCTCTTCCACCCAATAAGGAAACACAAGAAACGGAAGTATCCCTACTGATGTGCTCCCCCATCACCATAATATACATGGTCAATGCAATGGGACAATAAAGCAGCAGATAATCGAGACATAATACATTCATAGGCATTTGTACATATCACAGACCAATGGGGAGAAAGACACTAACAAGACCAACTCCTACCCCTATCCCTAATTCCCTCGTAAGCAAAACTCCATACAATGTGAACCCAATGTAGTGCAGAATGGCCAGCGGGACTCCAAATCCATGAGCTTTTTCTTGTGTCCCATTGATGAATTGACCTGACAAATTTTGATGCAGCTGAATTCCGCCACCATAGTTATGAAACATCATTTCCCCTGTTCCCTTCAACTAACTCAAACTAATTTAATTGACCAAAATCACGAAACCTTTGACAAAGAACGTAATTTGATTCAATCACCAAAATAAACATCAACATCCATAAAACATACCAAACACATTCCAACTAACATCCCATAACTGAAACAATGGATTTTCTAGTATGCACGGGACCATACTAAACACCAAGATCCTTGGCCATTGAACCCGTTTGATGCACATCCAACCCTCCACTGGTTTAGTGCATACCATGCACCGGAGCATAGTAAAACTTTCGCTGAAACAAAACAAATGTTATTTCGAGAGCTAAACAATCTGTTGCCTTTACAGCACTGTACAAACCCCAGATGCAAAATGTACAACCTTCATAAGCACGCAGAGCTCTGGAAACAAAATAATCAAACTCTATCTTCTCCTAGATTGCAACGTACAACTAGATAAAGCGCAAGGTACAAGTAGTTCAAGAGCTAAGGTCACCGACAATACTCACAGAGATGACCAGAAGTGCACGGAGAGGACTCCCTCTCCGAGTCCACAGAAGAACGTTCCGCCCACTGTTTCTAGAAGCTTCGCGAAGCAGCGGAACGTTCTTGGCTAGGGAGGTTTTGATCCGGTGAAACAGCGGAGCAGCAGCGCCGGCACTGGTGGAGCCGGGGAAGAGGATCTCAATGATCAGACGGTGGAAAACGCCGTAGAGAGTCTCCTCCCGTTTGGTGTGGACCTCGCCGTCGTTGTCGATGACGGCCACGTGGACTCCGCCGTTGGTTCCGTACGGCTCCGCCATTGGGGGACTGAACGGACAATTCACTGAGCAAGGAATGATGTAACTCTAATTTGGAGATTAGCGATTTTGGCAGTTGGAGGAATAATGCTGTTTGTGATGATAATAATGTTGCAGGTGGTTGACTTGATGGGTGGCCGCTGGAGGCGCTACGTGCGCGTCTCAAGGCCGAACGATCGGAAATTACCGGGAAGTTTTTGCTTTCTTTTGAAAAGGACAGTTCTGCCCTTACTCGTAAGGGATGAGCCGCTATACTAATCCGAGTAATTTTTGACGTGCTTAATGGGGTCTTTCAAATTAAATGGTAATGAACAGATTTCACACACTGTATCCAATAAGCCCAAGATTCGGTCATAAAGTCATCTCCTTGAGCGGTTCAGAGAATCAGAAGGTCAAAAATAGCTCGAAAATCGTCTTCAATCAAAGACTAGGCCAGAAGACTCGTAGACCCTACGGAATCTGAACAGGCCAGAGAGCCAGAGGGCTGACCATCTTCAACCAGCTAGCCCACTTTGATTTTTTTTTTCTCTTTTCACTTGGCCAGCCCGGTTCCTTTTTGTGTTTTTGTTATTTCAGCCCACTTTTGTTTTTTTTTTCTTAACAGCCCACTTGTTTTTTCTTTTCTTTTTTTAAATTTCTAATTTTTCCCTACACCATTTCTCACATATTTTTTCACTATTTCATACTGTCTTACCTTATTTTATTTCAATTCTTCACATTTCATACTATAGCCCTTTGGCCCTCGGTTGAAGATGGTTTTTTGTGACAGGGTTAAAACGAGTCATCTGACCCATCGGCCCGCTGACCAGCCTTCGCTTGGAGATGGCCTAAGTTCAAACTACAAGGCTCGGTCAATACCAATCATAATTAGTCAAATATGAAATTAGTATAATATGTGAAAAATACCGAGGTTTATTATTAGGCAACTTTGCTATAAAAAAAATACTTTGAAAATTTCGGCAATTTTTAAAATTTTAAAATTTATTTATTTTTACATTAAAATACGAATCGGGGATTTTATAGGTATTATGGAAAATGGGTCAAAACAATATGTATTAAATGTGAAAAGTTTGTATCTGTTATAGGCATAATTTACTGAACAATTATGAAGGCCATAGAGAGAGGGGTGCGGCAATAGTAGAGAGAAAACAGAGATGTGTAATTGTGGGTGCGTTCTATTCCACTCCATTATGTCATTATTTATAGTAGTAGGGAAGGTTAATTCCTTACACTTTTAGGATTACAACTCTTAATAGGTAATCAACTCCTAAGAAGAATATGAGAGATATTCCAAGATATAGTAGGATTTACACAATCACATTCCTAATCTAATAGGATTGCAACACTCCCCCTTGAGTGTGTAAATACTCAAGTAAATGGCGTATCAGGTCTTCAGTGATGAAGCAAGTACAGTTGATGAAGTCGTCGGCATAATGAGTAAATACGAGTCTCAAATCAACGGAAGAATGCATAAAAATTAAAACTCACAAAACCTCGCTATGGTAAAACTCAAGGTGGGAGAAAAACCCATAGACTAAGGAGAAAAGTAAGAAGTTGCATTAAGTCAAAACTATATGTCTTTTGGATGCAAGTAGAAGAGCTCATAAGGGTATGATCAGCCCAGGATGGGTGCCTCGTTAAAACCTAGTTAGGTAGCAAAAACCCAGTGGGAAAAATGCTCCTAATCGTAGGGAAAAAGAGTATATTAAGATCAAGTGAGTGTACTTCTGGATACTCCCCCTGAATTTGACATAGCTTCCAAATAAGAACTACAAGCATTGCATATGATAGTTAGGCATACCAACTCCTCGGACAAGCTTCTGGAAGGTTAACTTCGATAGTGACGTCGTGTAAAGGTCGACAAGGTTGTCTGGGATCAGCTTGCATGACTTCAATGTCCTAATGTTTTGCTGATGTAGATGTAGATGCAATATGTCTTGGAGTTGACTTCGTTGATGTATCATGGCTTGGTCGGGTTAATACATGCGGCATAATCTTCATGGATCGTCGTTAGGACTCAACGATGGATGAAAACACAGCAAGTACTTCGAATATGCTCAACAAGAACTCCTAACCATGCCTCACTTGTGCCGTAGTGAAGTGAGGTGAGTCTTGGAACGATTTGAAGATTTCTCAACTAAGGTCATATCATGGACCTCCAAGATATTGCGATATCCCTAACGGTAAAGACATAACCATTTGGGGATTTTGCCTTGTGTGGGTTTAATAAGTAACATACGTCAACATAACAAACAAGGCAAGCATCATTTCGAGGATTAGGGGGGTTAGATCCGCTCGAGATGCAATGGGATTTGTCCTTGTAGTACCTTTAGGGTATGTCTTTAATACCAATTCAGTGGATGTGTGTAGACGTGGTGTTGCATCTTTACCAAGATCAATAGCGAATGAGATGTCCTATCTAAATACAATGAGCTAAGTACAACAAAGCGCAAAGTTGAACTTAGATATGGAATTTCAAATTCCATAACATCTTCAAGGGTCTCATTTGCATATAACATATGGATGATCAAGGGTATACTCAAAGGTGACACCTTCAGGGGGTAGTTTGACTGGTAGACCAAAATACCATCAGAACAATGTTTCAACTTCAGTCAAGTCATAAACGAGTTTTCCTAAGATCCTTCATCTCAAATTCCATCTTCAGGTGCAAGGCAGTTTTCTCAAGCTCTTCCAAAGTCTTAGTGAGATTTGTGTCAACGATATAAATTGTAACTCTAGCAATTCGGAATAAGACTTCATACTTTAACACGCAAGGGCATAATTCATATCCTTGACTAATCAAATAATCACTTAGATAGGTATACCACATCCGTCGGATTGTAAGTGAAAGCCTCAAACAAGTTAAGAAGGTGTTCCGTGGTTTTGGAACTATTTGAACCAGTCTATGTAATTCTTCGGGAACTTACATGTAAATCTTCATATCTCTATCCCCATGGAGAAACATTAACCATATTTCATAATGCTACTATCAATCATATGACATTTTGAGAGAAACCTTGCACCGTAAGGTGTGCATCATATCGCACTATTTCATTCATCTCATAACGCTTATTTTCCCTCTTGTAACATAATAGGATTACCTTGGGCAGTGTGGGAACGACTGGTCCAAACACACTTTGGTAAGGAATTTAACCTGGATTGTAAATTCGGTTGTCCAATAAGTTCTACATTGTCACTTAATCAATGGAACATGGTTTGATATCATCGATTTTCATTTATAGCGGTAGCTACCATATAAATGAAAACATCATCGATGGTAATCTCATTTCAATTCCATTTAGCTCATCCAAACTAGTATACTGGACCAAGAACTTCAAGTGCCGGGAGTAATCTAGATTAATCTCATAAGATGGAAATGATTTGAGACAACTATCAGGTATGGATTCATTGTTGTGTCGTGTCTTCCTCTTCTAGGTAAATGAATCCTACGAACTGAGTGATTTGACATGCTCCAGGCCAAGACAGATTGATTGGTTATCCGCCGGTGTACCAGATCGTCCAACAGGGGCGTCTAAACCGTCCGATAGGGGTGGCACACCCTTCAGGGATGTTGACTCGATGTCCGTTAAATATGTTTATCTTTGCAAGCATATTTGCAGCTAGTATACGATCTCGTCACTTTAGCTAGATCAAAGGAATGCGTTTAGAGCAACATTCTGAAAGTTAAAATTCATCGCACTTGCTTATCACACTTGTGCGGTACGGGGATTGAGATGAGACATAGTGGGCAACGTCCACGCAAATTTACATCATTCTCCAGGAGCGTTGGCGTTCCTATCTCCTCCTAACGGAGGGAAGACTGTCTCATTAAAGTGGCAACCCGCAAATGAGCGGTAAAGAGATTGCGTGCAAGGGTTCTAAGAGAGCGAAGGTGAAGGAGAATCATAATCCACAAAGATTCACATCTTTCTTTAAGGACCCATATTGGTATGTTGCGGTGACGTAACTTAGCACATGGAATGCACAACCAAATGCGTAAATACGAAAATCGTCAGGTTCGTACCTAGTAACCAACTATAATGTCATATAGGTTGAGTGGCAATGAGCCTCAAGGCGAACCAACATAGCTGCGTACAAGATTGCATAACCCTAGGCAGGAACCGAAAACTTGGTACGTTTACCAAAATCCGAGTGATCATTTAAATTGCGCTTTATGATCATTAGGCAAGGCTATTTGAGGTGAACATAGGAATTCGATGTTCAATTATAAACCCAACATACATGCAATACTTTATCGAAAACCGTCGATATAAACTCTTCGGCATTATCCAGTCACCCGAACCTTAAAGTAGAGTGGTGAAACTTTAATCGGCCAAGAGGTTTAACAGCAATGTGTGTGGACAAACATGTGACCAGTTTGTTGATTTATTAACCAAAATCATAAATATTTATATGGTCCGCATTTTGGTTGGATTAGTCTACATATATTCCCTTGAATCCACTGTGAAAAATGGTGATTTCGTATCTTTGCAAGGGATGATTTAGAAGATCAATTTCTCTAATGAGTAGGCTTGGCAAAGTGTGCTTGTGGGTATAAGATCCTTACTTCGGGTAAGGAGGTGCGTCGTAGCATCATTGTTTGACCTAAGTGTCCCAAAAGGTCGTTCCAAAGCAAGTAAACTGCTCAATCACCAGGCTCCAGGCCGGCCACATGTGGTGTGTTCCCAGTTAGGAGACAACCCATTGACCTTAAATCAAAGATGCATGCTCATTTTTGGAGGTGGTGCAAAGATATTTCACTCTTATTTCTTCAGTGGTTTCATTCATGATCATTGTCATCTCGAATATCCTTAAATACTTAACCACAGGGAGAATTTAAGGTCCCTTAAATGATAATTCAGTACCATTCATACAACGAGGAGCATGCCAATGCTCTTAATCAGGTTAGATAGATCCGAAGTTGTTATTAGAGATGTGATTTAGGTGTAAAATTAGTATGGGTAGTATCGCATTCATCCAGACAACTAACTTTCCCACATTCCTACCTAATCACGTGTTTATTTGAATTGGGTCACATGTATTAAGAAACATGATTCAATTAACTCATATTCGAGGACAATATCAATAAGATTATCCATAAGTAAAACAAACACCAAACATGAATCCAATAACATAGAAAAATGTTCACAAAGTAAATGATTTACTAAGGGGATTCGGCCAACAAGACCATCCATGTCAAAATTCTGCTTTTTCCAACGATGTTTGGTGAAGAAAAATTAATCTCACATATTGACTACTAGAATTGTACTCCTTAACAACATTGGTAGGGGCACGAACATGTGCATAACCAATGATTTATTCCATCAAGATGGAAGTATATTTTGTAGGGTTTGTTTTACAATGTGAGCATAGTTATTATGCCAAAAACATGTGATGGTAGAGAGCCTAGAGAGAATCTCCTTAGCATTTCTCATGCATAAAATGTATGTAGTGAACGTCATAATAGAAGCATATGAGCTGAATTGATTATGGACATCAACAAATACAATAATAAGGACGATGTGGAGTGTCCCTAAGCTAGGATAGGAAATGGGAGAGATGTTTATTTATTAATTAATACCTGTTTCCTAAAAGCTTGTGAAGCCTAGTCATAAGATCTACTTCATCCTCTGTGAAGTCCCCTCTCTTAATATTTGGCTTTAGATAGTTCAACCATCTTAATCTGCAGCTCTTCCTGCACCTGTTTAAGCCTGCATATACACAATGCAAAGTTTATAACATCTTTCTACGTACTACGAATATGTCTGCAATGTGTTTTCTTGAGGAAGTTTCCGATGTGGGACTGTCCGTCTCCGCGTGGCCACGCATTAGCATGTTCTAAAGCATTAAATAAGCAGAACATCCGACTCGAAACGAATTGGCAAAGGTCTTAGAATGAAATACTGTGAAATGCTTTACTAGCAATACACATATCCATGTTTCAAAGTTATATATACATGTTGACATACATACCTGCTTTGTAAGGAAGTTGGTGCTGTTATCCATATTGTTTGTATGATCAAAACACAAGATATACATTTATATAAAATTTATAGAAGCACTTACTTGTTGAAGGTGCAGCAGCCATGCAAACAATGCGTGATTGAGAGAACACCAATTCTGGTACGTTTTTCCATGATCGAGAGAAAACATCAAATCTTCTGCGAACTTCTAGCTTGATGACAATGCTCTATGGGAAGCCTTAGTTGTCGTGTCTAGGGTTAGCAGGGACCAGTGTTTATATACTAGCCAAAAAGTCTTAGATTCCGTTCATAAGGGAAAACTAAAACTCTCCTTTCTTGGCTCTCAAGTAAAATATCATAATCATATATTATCAAGGATTCAATCAAAACCTACTTATAATGTAAGACACTTAATGTAGGGTTGATATAAGGAAATCAAATCGCAACTTAACTGATCTCCAACTTATACATTCCTATTACATATAGTAGACCATTTATGGTTGATTTATGTTGAATAAATCCAACATTCTCCCACTTGGTCTACTAATTGTAATGATCATGCCTCAAAACATATGTCGGAGGTCATTGTTTCTTTAATGGCCATATCACTGCGATCCAATCCCATCCTTAATTCAAATTTCTGTCAAATGGACTTCTCAATGTAGGATTAACAAGGTTGTAAATATATTTCATCTCAGAACCTTCATACTCACATACACTGAGTCAACCATTCACATGAAAACCATCAGATTATGATCTAGAGATGAACTTTAACTCAAGAACGGTCTTACTCTGTATCATCTCAGGTCTACTTTCATAAGTCACACCTTATGCTTTTAAACGGTCTACATGTTTACCAATGCAAACTTTTTACCATTCCAAGGTCACTCTTATGCTTTTAAGTAGTCCACATGTTTGCCAATGCAAACCTTTTATCATTCCAAAATGACACGTTATGCTTTTCAAGCATTCTGCATGTTTGCCAACGCAAACTTTTATTATTCCAAAATAAACTTATGCTAAAAGAATTAAATATGCATGCATTATTTGAACACAAATAATTAAACTACAATCTTTATTCAAACCCAACCTCGGAAACAAACCACATCTCAAAAGTCAAAGCTCAGTGAGTTTAGCTTACTTATTTTACTGCAGCTAAAAGACAGTTTTCTACTTCCACTAACTCAACATATCAAAGTTCGAGATCAATCCCATATTTTCTACATGCTTCTTGAAAGACATGACTGAAAGTGGCTTGTTCAAGGGATCTGTAAGCATTGATGTAGTATCAATATAGCTGATCTTTATGAACCCTTGCTTAATCTTTTCCCTAATCAACTTGTATTTGATATGCATGTGTTTGGTCCCAGAAGACCTCTTGTTGTTCTTTGAATAGAAAACTGCAGTAGTATTGTCACAAAATATCTGCAACGGATTTGTGACAATATTGACAACTCTTATTCCCTCTATAAACTTTCCAATCCATACTGCCTGAGAAGTAGCTTCAAAACAGGCCATGTATTCTGCCATCATGCTAGATGTAGCTATGTCCTTTTGTTTCATACTTTTCCACGAGATTGCACCTCCCACCATCATGAAAATGTAGCTAGAGGTTGATTTCAATTAGTCTTGACATCCTGCAAAATCTGAATCACAATAGCTGACCAACTCAAGCTTGTCACTTCTCCTGTATACCAACTTATAGTCTTTGGTTTTCTGCAAATATCTGAGCACCTTCTTTGTTGCAATCCAATAAGCATGTCTATGATTCGACTGATATCTCCCCAGCAAACTCAATGCAAAAGCAATGTCAGGTCTAGTGCATACTTGTACATACATTAGGCTCCCTAAACTGAAGCATATAGTTTATCATTCATCTCAAGCTTTTCAGCTTCAGTTTTGGGACTTTGCAGTTTACTCAACTTATCCCCTTTTGTTACTGGTACATCACAGCCACTGCATGTTAACATATTGAACCTCTTGAGTATTTTCTCAATATACCTCTTCTGTGATAGCCCAAGTAGGCCTCTGTTTTTGTCACGAGTGATTTCGATTCCTAAGACATAAGAGGCTTCACCCATGTCCTTCATCTCAAAGTTGTCATTGAGAATTATTTTAGTTTCATGCAACAAGGTCAAGTTACTGCTTGCTATAAGAATATCATCCATGTAAAGCACCAATATGGTGAAGTGTCTCCCACTGGATTTAAAATATATACACTCATCTTCAGAATTCTCAATAAAACCGTGTGATTGCATGACTTCATCAAACCTCAAGTACCATTGTCTTAAGGCCTGTTTTAGGCCATAAATCGACTTCCTGAGTTTGCAGACCAATTTCTTACCATCTGCATAAATGAATCCCTCAGGTTGTCGCATATAAATTTCTTCCTCCAAAATGCCATTTAAGAATGCAATTTTTACATCCATTTTATGTAAATGAAGGTCATAGTGAGCCACCAAAGCCATTACAAACCTGAATGAATCTTTTGTTGAGATCGGTGAAAATGTCTCAGTGTAATCAATTCCCTCTTGTTGAGTGTATCCCTTGGCTGCAAGTCTAGCCTTAAATCTTTCAATTTCTCCCTTGGAGTCCTTCTTGGTCTTATATACCCACTTATATCCGATTGGTTTTGCTCCCTTTGGTAACACTGCAAGTTCCCACACTTTATTCTTTTTCATGGATTCAAGTTCACTCTCCATGGCTTTCACCCACTCTTCTTGCTGCAATCCACTTATAGCTTCTTTATAAGTTACAGGTTCACCAATATTAATATCTGCTTCACTCAAATACAGCACAAAATCATTTAAGATGGTTGACTTCCTCAGTCTTGTAGATTTTTGAAGCACAGGTGCAAGGACTTCAGGAATTGGTTCTGTAACTTGTACCGGTTCATGTATAGCATCATTAGTGACATTCGGTTCTTCCATGTTGCCTATGGTATCATCAGTGGCATCCATTAAATTATTTTGCACAACATTCTCAGTATCCTCAGTAACTTGTGGCAAGAGAAGATTATGGCTTATGTTTGAAGTCTGCACACCAGTGTCTTCTACATTTTCTTGTAAATTAGATTCATCTTGTTCTTCAAAAACCAAGCTGTGATTTGAGACTCCCTCTGTCATCTCTTTTATGAACTTCACTTTATTTGTCTCAATGAAATGCATTGAATTTCCAGGACAATAAAATCTAAATCCCTTAGTTCTCGATGGATAACCAATGAAATAGCAACTTATAGTTTTGGGATCTAACTTCTTTTCCTGAGGATTATATGCCCTTGCTTCTGCTTTACATCCCCATATTCTCAAATGTACCAAGCTAGGCTTTCTGTTGTTCCAAGTTGAAGGGTGTTGCAGTGACAGACTTGCTTAGTGCCCTTTTGCAGATATAGTTTGCAGTTTTAATTGCATCTCCCCATAGAAACATTGGCAAGTTGATAGAACTCATCATACTTCTTACCATATCCTTCAACGTACTGATTCTTTCTCTCAAAGACACCGTTCTATTGTGGTGTTCCAGGATTTGTATATTGAGCTACAATTCCTTCACTTTGCAGATAAAGTGCAAAAGGTCCTAGATTTCTTCCATGTTCAGTGTATCTTCCATAGTATTCACCACCTCTGTCAGACCTCACAGTTTTGATTTTCTTATCCAACTGTTTTTCAACTTCAACTTTGTAAATTTAAAAAGCATTCAGAGCACTGGACTTCTCAGTAAGCAAATATAAGTAATAATATCTCGAATGGTCATTTATGAATGTTATGAACTACCTATAACCATCATACGTAGGCATAAGGAAAGGACCACATATGTCAATGTGTATGAGCTCTAGTAATCCATTACTTCTGATTGCATCTTTCTTGTGTGAACTCACCATTTTTCCTTTAATGCATTCAATAAATGTAACTGGATTATCAAACTCAAGTGGTGGAAGTATGTCACTTTTACTTAGGTTCTTTATTCTCTCAATTGAAATATGCCCTAATCTTTTGTGCCAAAGAGTGGAGGAAGTCTCATTTTGATTCAATCTCTTTTGTCCGACCATGTGTGCTACATGTTTTGACTCTTTGCAATTCAGTCTAAACATCCCACCAACATTCAAACCATTTCCAACAAGTTGACAATTTTTATAGATCGAAAAGCCACTGTCATTTATTGAAAATACAAAATTCTTCATAACTAGCTGACTAACTGATACTAGATTCCTTGGAATTAAAGGTACATAGCACACATTCTCAAGGTCTAATGTAAAACCAGACTGTAACTTTATTCTAACTGTTCCAATGAACTCAACAGCAGCTCTTCCTCCATTCCCAACGATCATTGAGACTTCATCCCTTTTTGGAACTTTTTTGCTTATGAATCCCAGTAATGAATTTGTCATATGTATTGAAGCACCACTGTCAATCCACCAAGAATCCCTAGCATATTCAATATTATTTGTTTCAAAATCCACCAAGAATCCCTAGCATATTCAATATTATTTGTTTCAAAACAAACTAAAACTTCACCTTTAAAAATCATAACATTACCTTTCCCCTTGCCACTGTCAATCCACTTTTTGTATTTTTGGCAATGTCTTTTCATGTGGCCAGGTTTCTTGCAGAAAAAACACTTGCCGTTGACAGCTTTGGAACCCTTGTTTGCACCTAGCTTGGAGTGATTCGATGCCCCCTTGTTGTAATCTTGCCTTGCAGTATTATTATGGTGGTCAGTCACTATATTCACTTTCTTTTCAAAAATTTCCTGCCTTATATGTTGCTCCTCATGCACACAGATCGCAATCAGTTCATTCAGACTCCACTTTTCCTTTTGTGCATTGTATGTGCTTTTCAGTTGTGAATGTTCATTTGGCAACGAGTTAAGTGCCACATGAACTAAGAAAGGATCACTCATAGGGACCTTGAGAGAATTTAATTTTGCACCAATATCTAGCAGTTCTAATATATGCTCACTTACACAACCTATACCATTATACCTTTTGGACATGAGCTTATTCATGAGATTCCCAGTTTCTGCCTTAGCTGATTCCTTGAATTTTTCATCAATAAATGCCAAGAACTCCTCGGCATTCTCGGACTTAGGAATGCCACCTCTCACTGTATCAGACATGGACTTCTTGATCACCAAGAGAGCAATTCGATTAACCTTCTGCCACTTTTCATATGTTGCTTTGACATCAACTGTAGCATCTGCAGCAGGTTCTAGAGGAGAATCTTCCCTTGTTGCCATGTCTAAATCCATTAATCCCAGACAGATTTCCAAGTCTTGTTTCCATTTTTTGTAGTTTGTTCCACTTAGGGTTTGAACAATGTTCACAAATTAATATATACACAACATGTAGGCATTGATTAAACCAATCCCAAAACTTTATAAAAATGAAATTGATCCAACACTTGTGAGCAAGATGAATCAATATGTTTTCTGACACTGATTTATGTGTTATACCAATTACCTTCATGCTAATTCCCAACACTTATGAGCAAGATGAGAACCTTCACTACTGATATAGCACATAAATCATGTCATACCATTCATATATGATCCAGAAAACAATGATCAACACTTGTGAGCAAGAAGAACAGTCTCTATATCATATATTGAATGCAATTTTATGAACAACAACTTTACTACATGATTCAATCTCTCATGACAAACGGCTGTAGCTTGAATATATGATTAACTGAATTATGCAGATGATGTCCATATCAACCTTATAAGTACCAAAGTACTAATGATCATGCAGAACAGTTAAAACTGACATGAATTAGAAACTATGCAAACACTGAATGTTTTCGACAGTCATCAAATATAGTTATAACTTTATACATGCATGTTGATCAATCGAAAACATATGAGGTATTGATTCTTTTTTGGTTTTAACCATACAAACAATGGCTCTGATACCAATTGTTATCCATATTGTTTGTATGATCAAAACACAAGATATACATTTATATAAAATTTATATGAAGCACTTACTTGTTGAAGGTGCAGCAGCCATGCAAACAATGCGTGATTGAGAGAACACCAATTCTAGTGCGTTTTTCCGTGATCGAGAGAAAACACCAACTCTTCTGCGAACTCCTAGCTTGATGACAATGCTCCATGGGAAGTCTTAGTTGTCTTGTCTAGGGTTAGCAGGGGCCGATGTTTATATACTAGCCAAAAAATCTTAGATTCCGTCCATAAGGGAAAACTAAAACTCTCCTTTCTTGGCTCTCAAGTAAAATATCATAATCATATATTATCAAGGATTCAATCAAAACCTACTTATAATGTAAGACACTTAATGTAGGGTTGATATAAGGAAATCAAATCACAACTTAACTGTTCTCCAACTTATTCATTTCTATTACATATATTAGACCATTTATGGTTGATTTATGTTGAATAAATCCAACAGGTGCCACTTTACTTCTCCATGAATCTCAATGCACTGCCTGAGAAGATCATCTTCCTCTCGAGTCCAGGCACCTTTTCTCATCACACTCATGTTAACGTCATATCCCTCCATCTCTTATCTGCTGCCTGGTAGCCACTTCAAAGCCTCCAGAAAGCCACCGAGCTACCATTATATGTAAATAGAGTGTTGGACATAACAATAACGTTATGGATAACTCCAACTAACTAAATCAATGCCAGTGACGTGCATGTCTGATATCCACAGAAGCAAAAAGTGACGAGTTTAAAAACATTTCATCGGGGGTCATATGTTAGTTACCAGTCTATCCTTTGAAAAATATATGTATAGATTATATTATAATATTACAGAAAAAGCTAACATTTCTGCATGACAAGGGGAGTCAATTTTCTAGGGCATAAAATTCTCTAGCTATAATATAATATTCAAAAGCACATTCTACGAATGTAAATGCAGAATCGTGTAACTAGTTACAACACACATCTTTCACCACTGAATATTCCTGCAGCTTCATATTTTCCGAGTGCAAGCTTTCGCTTCTTTTTCAGATGTTTGTTTGCATAGAAATTTTTCAATGTACTGAAAACACGACTTAATATATTAAGTGTCATAATAAAATTAGTTAAAAATTTTCTTTCAAGTTTTCATTTAATTGTATTATTATTTAATGTATTTGATCATGTGATCGGCACACTCAAAAATATCTCGCTTGCTTGTACTTGTCAAAACAAACAGACAAAAAACCCCTAAAAAATATATATGTACAAAGAGGCACGGGCACTATTTTCTTGGGTCCAAGCTACTGTATACCTTTTTTTTGGGTCCAAGCTACTGTCTACCTTTTTTTGGGTCCAAGCTACTCTCTGCCTTTTAAGAGACAAAGAGGCACGGGCACTATTTTTCTGTACGAAACCACAACGAAATTTTGACACCGCACCTAACATTAATTGCTAAATAATTGGACGACTTCTTACAACGAGAGATTTTCTTTATGCTTAGAACACATGATGGTCTGTCATATATTATCATATAAATGAAGTGAACATATTTTTGAAGTGTTTTCTCACTCGTATGATGATATATTGTATATGTATCATTTTCATGCACAATAAAAATTCTCTTCTGAGTATGCTCTAACAAGAGTCAGTCTAAGGTAATGTCCACTTAATAAATTTTCTAGGCATATTAAATTTATAGATCAAATTTTGTTAAAAAAAAAAAAAATTAAGTGAAATGATTTTGTTGATTCATATCTTGGCTTACTGTTAAACAAATATATAATTATATTTTTGGTATTCGGAAATTGATGTCATTAATTAGTAGACAAATACATAATTTTATTACCAGCCACACGTGGATTGTCCTGGGGCTGGGCACGGGCACGGGTCGGGCTGGCCTAAATTTGAAGGAACCTGACCCTACTCGTTTTAAAATGTAATGGGCCGGGTAGAAGGATTTAGAGTTTGGGAACCGGACCTAACACGGCACGTTTCAAACGGGCCGAATCAGGACGGGTTCACGAGTCCTATTACCTTTTTTTCTTCGGTTTTGGAATGGCACCGATCTGCTCCTCAACCTTCACGAGCTCGTCGGAATTAGCCTTCGCATTGGCCTATAATTTTCGACCTAAACAAACACAAATCGCAAAAAAACCCTAATCAATATCAAATCTCATATAAAAACTTCAAATTCATAAACATTTACTCATAACAATGCATCGTTCACCCAGGGAGGAGTGAGAGAAGGCAGATCAGAAGTAGAACGGAAGGGATTGTCCACTTCCTCATCGTTGCAACTTGAAAACACTTCGAAGAAGAAGTTCACTCATTGAGATTTATTTGTTTCTGGGTTAATTTCCTTATATCCAGAAAATCAAAACCCAAAAATCGAATCCCTTTTCGACTCATGCATGCCTTCAAAATCAATTGAATTTCAAAAACAAGAACACTGAATTGGTAGAAATTTCCCAAACAGAAAGGTATGCAGAGATTTCCCAAACAGAAGGATATGTAGAGATTTCCCAGACAGAAGGATATGCAGAAATTTCCATTTGGTTTAATTATGCAGGCACAACAAGGACATGCAGAGATAGGTATGAAGGTACAACATTCTCAAGCTCATCTTGGACCTCCTGCAACTGCTCGATGGAGATGACGATGAAAGCCTTTACTTCTTCAGCATCGAGAAGATGACACTCTCACAGGTCCAATCCTCACGGCGAAAATGCAGAGAAAATTAGCAAAATCCATATTGGGGTTTTGGGTTAAAAGCTAAAAATGCATGATTTGTGGAAAACCCAGCTAGGATTAAGAACTTGAAGAAAAAGAAGAAGAAGGTTCGGGGAGAGAGAAGAGAGAGAGAAAGACAGAGAGATGGAGAGGTGGCTGAGATTGAGAGAGTGAATTATGGAACCTTGGACTCAGGTAGAAACTAGGATAGAAACCAACGGTTAATATTGGATGATAGGTTATCATTCAATCTTGACCGTTCATTATAATTAGAAACGGGTCGGTCCAAGTACCCCATTTTTCTAAGTATTTGGACTCGGCCCTCCCTATAAATGAAAAAGGCCCGGCCATTTGTTTTCTAAAATATTAGGAATCGGCCCGTACCAGCCCCTAATCGTGATTACCCGCCTCGACTCGCGGCTCCTATACCCGTTTTCCCACCCCTAGATTGTCCCTCTTTCTAACTCAACACTAACCCCAAGAAATCACAACTATAATTACACAACATCGTAATCATGTAACCTATATAATATTGTTGAGAGTTAACGATGTAAGGACAAAATTTCCCACATTGATGAAGGATAGGCCAAGGCAAGGGCATATAAGATGTTGGGCTACTCTCTATATTGTCAATTAGTTTTGTGATGCAATTCAAATTTCTTCATAGTATTATAGCGAGTTGTCCTTTGTGTGAAAAGCGAGCTCACACTTCATTCAATTTGTTGTCCACTTGCAAGTTCGAAAATTGGCCACACTTAAAGGAATGTGTCAAGAGTTGACAGTGTAGACAAAATATCCCACTTTGGTGAGGGATATACCAATGCAAGGGCTTATAAGATGAGTTACTCCTTATATTGTCAATTGGTATTATGGTCGAACCCCAACCTTTTTCACATATGACTCAAAAGATCATCTTCCTCTTTTAGTCCATACACCTTGTCTTACATAGTTACGCCCGAGTGATGCTCCATATCATATCGATGTTTTATGCAAGTGATGAGTCGATTTTGTATTATATATTTTTAGTATGTTGGCATTTATTTTGGTGAGATTTTGATACTTTAATTAACATTTCCAATGTAGGACATACGACTCCTTTTTTAGCAAAAGGTTATTAAACAGATGAATTTTAGAGTAATTCCAATTAGAGGATGTTCACGTGTCTTTCAACTTGTTTGTAAGTTTTTCTACCAAGCGATTAATTTATGGCAATGAAAAGAACTAGCACGTGAGGCTGTCAAAACTGATACTTCAGGCTTATTTGGGCTTTTTGGCGTCCAAGATGGTGTCTTTTGGGTTCGAGCCCTTCTGCAAATATGTTCAGGACATCTCAAGCTATATATATAAAGCATCTTGGGCTTATTTTGCAGCTGATTTAGGATATGAACGTGGTTGATCTTTGAAGGGGCAAATTTCTCATAATTGATTGTAATTATATTTCCTAGTTTACTTTAACATAATTTGTTTCCTAGTTTTTAGAAGACCTTTTCTAGAAGGATTTTATTTTTGTAGTAGTATAAATAAGGCTAAGTAGCCATTAGGGTTCTTGACGCCCTATTTTGGAGAATTTAGTTTAGAGAGCTTTTTGGCAATTCAAGTTTATTGACAAGGTGTTTTTTGTCCATACCTTTAATATTATTTTGCTTTTTAATTATGATTGTACGTAACTATCTTTCTTTTGCTAGGGTTAGGCCACAAGCCTTAGAAAGAATATGTAGTTTCTTTTCAATTTACTTATGCATGCACGTTTTGAACTATTAATGACTGAGTTTAAACTATCTAATTGTTTTAATGCTTGGCTACCATTATAATATTTAGAATAGTAATTTGAAGCAACTTTGGTTGGAGGGCTGTCCTTGAAATTGACGAAGGCTTCTTGTGGTAAATAATTGTAATTTTACTTAGGATGAATACCACGTCTTAAGGGTTGCCTGGTTTTTCAAAGGATTTCATAAAACTTAATGAGTCTTGCATGTTTAGATTTGATTTGAATACCACATACGGATTGCATGTTTGATAAACATTTTAGATTAGGGGTCCAAGTAGAGCATACTTTAGGAAAATCTAACCTTCCAAGTATGCATGTATAAGTAATAAGTAATTGGAAGAAGTATGTCGGATTGTTAAGGTAATGGCAAAACATCAGTGTTTTTACAACTTGATTTTCAAAAACCGTTTTCTTTTGTTTTCTTTACTTTGCCGATTTCTTTAATTGTTTTAATTAAAATTCATTTTTATTATTTAAATTCCAAGATCAACCTTTTCTAACTCTTTTTTTTTTAATAATTAACTAAGATTTGGTTTTAACATAAATTATTTAAAAAGATCATTGTGGACAATGACCTTGCTTAAGCTATTATACTACAATTACCTTGTACCCTTGCAAGTATTTTTAAGTGTTTTTTTACCTACTTTTGCAGGTGGTAAAAATCCTATCAAGAAATTGGCGCTATTGCCAGAGATTGTTTTTAAATAATTTTGTGTTTGTCATATTCTTAGTTGATTATTTATGCATATAAAATTTTATTTATTTTCATTTTCGTTGTTCTTGCTGAATGCTAAAATTTGGATTCTAATTTTGTGGACAGCAACGATAGCATAGCCTTCATCATTCCAGAAGTTGGCCGACCCTTAAGAGAGTCATAAGCTGCAATGGATTGGTTTGGATTCTCATAAGGAACACCTACAGTTTGTGTTCTTTGCAATTTGAATACCCACGACATTATGTATTGTCCCCAAAGTGAATATTTTTCAGAGTTTGTGTAGAATTATATTAATATGAGGAGCAACTTTCAAAGGCCTAGGTGCGATCTGTGGAGCCAAAAATAATCAAAAAAAATATGGAAGCGACACATGGATTCTTAAG